GGTGTCAAAGGCCTTGCTGAAGTCCAGAAAGACTACATCCACCGCGACACCTGCATCCATGGCCTTTGTGACCTGATCGTAGAAGGCAATCAGGTTGGTCTGACATGATCTCCCCCTAATAAATCCATGCTGAGGTCTGACATGATCTCCCCCTAATAAATCCATGCTGATTTATTAATAAATCTCCTAATAAATCCAAGTGTTTTTTCTGAAGTAATTAAAGCAAAAGCAATTAAAGCTAAGTACAGGCATTCAAGAAGCCCATTGCAGAAGCACTCTAACTTTTGAGCTTTACCCTAAGCACTCCCATTTAGGTTGGGAGTTAGCCCTTGTGGCAGTGAAGGGGCTCAGAGTTTGCCTGCATAGCCTAAGCGCAGCAGATAGGAGGGTCTCTTGCACACCTCCCAGTGTGCCGCCAAAGACTCCCAAGCAAAGCTCAATAGCCAAGCTGCCCCAATCGGCTGATGGGGACATCAAGGCCATGCACCTGGATATCCCCCAACATACACACAGATGAAACCAAGGCATCCTGGACAACACACACACACACACACACTCCAAGAACCCAGGCATCCAGGGCATAGCTGGGCCAACTTTCATGCAGCCAATAAGGGTGATACCTGCCTCTTTTGCAATTCCCTGGGGTGATGGAGAACACGTGCTATGGTCATGGAGTGCCCAATTTCATTATCTATGACATCATTAGCCCCCCCCCCCCAAATCCTCACTGGCGGCCTGGCCTACCTCCTCCTGCCCTTGCTCATGAGGCTCTGTGGGGCAGCTGGACTGCTGGAAGGAGCACTTCAACTATGGACTGGGCCTGGCACTGCAAGCACATGTGGTGCAGGCATGGGGGAGATGGCAAGCACCCACCAATGGGTGTGGCCCTGCACCATGGCAGGTTGTCTGGATCTGTGAAGCCCTGGCTGAGGACCACCTCACCTGCATGGACCAGGAGCCTTCCCCAGATGAGTAGGGCCTGAGGGTGAGTACCCATGCCCTAGCACCGGGCCATATGTCACCATGAGCTCCTCTAGCCCTGCATCAGGGGCACCACTGTCCATAACCCAGGCTGCCTGAGCACTGTCCCCCTTCCCCTTTCCCTTCCCAGCCCTCCCCTCCCACGCAGTGTGGGGGAATGTGGCATGAAAAACAGATGTGCCACAGTTTAAAGTGTTGTGGTTGCCAAACTTTTCCTGTGTTTAATAAAACCTGTTGAACACTGCCCTCATCTCAGCTTGATCCTTCCTCCCAATCAACACAAAACAGCAAAGCTTTGGCAGTGATGGAGTGGAAAGGGGTTTGAGAACGGGATGACAGAACCTAAAAGGAGTTTTGGGATCAGGGGGAAAGCCACAGGACCTGAACTCAACAAAAATGAAATCCTGGAGAGCAGGCACTGGGTAAGGGGCTTTGACCTGGCACCCTAATTTCAGGGGTCTGGAGTCAAGATCTGGGACTTTTCCATGTAGAAGCTGGACAGCTGCATGTTACCAGACCCAATGTCTGTCTGAGAGAGCTGCAAGCCAGAAGGCATTGCCAAAACAGGCACTCAAGACTGCTGGCTCTCCCACATGGGACCCCTGACCCCAAGGCTCTCAAAACCATGTATCCCCTTTCAAAGACCACAGACCCATGGCCCTCACCATCATCTGGGGCTCATATCAGGCAGTTAACCCAAGCTGTGGGGGCTGCATATTCCCACCAAGGTTTCACTGCTCCCTTTCAGCAAGACCCAGGCGAGGAGTGAGGCCATAGGGAGTGGAAGAGCTCCCCTACCCCTGGGCCTTCCAGACTGGGACTGGATGAGCTAGGATCACCGGGTCCTGCTGCGAAAAGCTACCCAATGGCCACCTGGCCCGGTGGGCTGCCCTTTCTCCCCTATTTTGAGCATTCCTCCACACCTTTGGGACAAGCCTGAGACCACTTCGGGGGCCTGCTCCTATGGGGTGAGTGGCAGAAGTCCAGTACCATGTGCATTAACTCTCTATCCTGGCGCTGTAACTCTCTCAGCTCCACTGTGCTATGGGATGTCTCCTTCAAATTGTAGCTAGCCATCTAAAGCAGAGATAGGCAAGCCCCAGCATGTGTGCCAATTAGTGGCACACACAGACATTTTCTCCAGCCTGCCAGGAAGTGTGTGAGGAAATTGTTTTAAAAAAAAAGTTGCTGGTCCAGGCTGTCTGCTGCAGGCTCCCGGCTGGCTCAGCCCCAAGCACTGCCTGCAGCAGCTGGTCCCAGGGGGCTCCCGCAGCCAGGCCCTTACACTGGGTGTGGCTCTGCTCCACTCGCACTGTGCCCAACCTGCAGAGGCCAAGCCCAGAGCCAGAAGCCCCCCCAAACCCAGCATCCTGGCCTGGCCAAGCAGAGTCCCCCTGCAGGCAGAGCTGTGGCCCACTCCTGCAGCTGAGCAGGCTGAGCCAGGCCCTACTTCAGGTGCTGCTGGGCACCCTGGCCCACCCACCGTGGCCTGAGTCTGTGGGACCCCGGGGCAGCCATCGCTTCTTGCACAGCCCTCAATCTCCTGCACGGCCTCTGCACCTCTTGCCTGCACAGCCCAGACCCTGCCCCAAGCACCCAGCCCTAGCACCTGGTGCCTTGGTGCTGCCCCTGCATGGGTGAGATGGGGCCTGGGCTCCCCCAGATCCAGGACAGTCTGGGAGGTCTGAGCATCCCAGCCTTGGGGCTGCTGTTGATGTGTCAATGCCTTCCTCCACCAAAAACTGCACTGGACCACCGGGCTTGAGCCACAACCGGTAGCGGTGGCAGGTGTGGGTGGCAAGGGGCATACCCTCTTTCTCCTCTTTTTTCCTCTTTTTTTCTTTTGTTGTCCTCCTTTGTCTCTTTTTCTGTCTCTTCTTTCTCTCCCCTTTTCTTTTTTCTCTTTACCTCTCTTTTTCTCTCTTTTCCCTCCTCTCCTTTTTTCTTTCTCTTTCCCACTCACTCTCTCTCTCTCTCATCACAACATGCTTAACAAAAAAGAATACACAAGAACAAATGTAGTATATGAAGTTTTATTTATTGCCACCAGGTTTAGAATTTTTAGAAAACCTGGTATTTACTGTTAAAAAAAAAGCAACATACATGATTATTAACCATATTAATATGCAGTGTGTCCTGCCATGTACCCTCCCTCTGCCCCTGTTCTGTTTTTCTGGCATGCTGGCACTCCAGCACCTTACAAGATAAGACACTGCAGTTTTTTTTCAGCACTCCGGCCAAAAACCTTGCCTACCCCTGATCTAGAGCCTCCAGTCAGACAATTCAACAGCAAGGCAATTCAACAGCACCTCCTCCCTACCCATCATGGCCCAATCCAGTCTCACAGCCCCTGGTGACAGGAGTCTGTGGTACACAGCCTAAGCTCAGAGGCTGTGACTGGAACTTGTAATGAATAGGAGACATTTCGACAATGCCTCATATTAACATCTTTCATTCGATCAACAAGTGTTAGGCCACACATCCTAGACTCTGCACCCTGGCAGCGAGAACCAAGGGGCTGAGACAACAGTTTCTACACAGGAGAAACTGTGTCCCTTTCCAAAAGTGGCAGGGAGGGAGGGAGGTCTTTTTTTTTGTTTTGTTTTGGGGTTTTTTGTATGACAGAGGAGAATTTTTCTTGTTCCTGCAGCAGTTGTCAGACATAGCTTTGGTATATCTCCTGTCCCTTACCTGGGGGTGCTCTCTGAAAAAACTGCTGTTGACCCTTTTGCCTGCTGAGCTCACTAAATGCTACTGAACCCTTTCTATGAGTGCCTTGTGGGGAGGGGGAGCTGTTGACGTGCAAACACTCAGGGTATCTGTGCTTAGTCTCAAATTTCTCAT